GCCACTTAAGCTTTAGTGTGGACAAACCTGGGTTTAGAATCCTGGCTCTACCATGTTCTTGCTATGTGAACCTGGTCAAATCATTTTGCCCCTCTGAACCTTAATTTCCTTATCCATAAAATGAAAATAAAACTATCAGTTTTAGATTTATCCTGAGGATTAAATAAGATATGTAATTTTTTTTGTTTGTTTTTTATCCTCACCCAAGGACATTTTTGCATTTATCTTCAGATAGAGTGGGAGGGAGAGAGGGAGGGAGGGAGAGAGAGAAACATCGAGTGGTTGCCACCCACACAACCCCAACCGGAGCCACGGATAAACTGCAATCAAGGTACATGTCCTTAATGGGAACTGAACCCAGGACCCTCAGGTCTGCAGGCCGACGCCTAAATGCTGAGCCAAACCGGCAGGGGCAAGATATGTAATGTTTATAACCAGGAGTATAGTATGCTGTGGGTGCATTTCAAAAGATGCGGTTTTCCCATTCTGATGATGCTAAATCAGTAACTTATTTAATTCAAATGATCTTACATAAAATGGTAGCCTGAAATAGCTGTCCCAGCAAAGCATCATCTGGGTAAAAAACATTGAGGTCAGCTGTCAACTGCAATTTGCACTGCTATAATTATGCAATCATGACCACCACTGCAAGACAACAAAAACCCCCAAAGCTGATGTTACTGAAATTGCTAAATACAATAATTACTTGAGTCTCAAGATCATGATCACCAATTCCTTTAGGAAAGCAACAGAAACCTTTGTAATTATAGGAGCAAAAGTCTGATTAGTTATCTGACAGTGATCTCTACTACAGAAGCCTTTTGGTCACTGCCCAGGATGGCAGCATACTCAGAAGTCTTTCTCAAATTGCTACTTTCTCACATTTCATACTCTGAAAGAAACAATGTTAACCAAAGAACTAAAAGTGGGAAGGGGGGGGTGGGTTGTATTCTTTGAAATCTAGCATTCTTGGCACTCTTTTCTGGCAAGAGGCTCTAGCCTGGTGAAATAATCTCTAGGAGGAAAACACAGTTTAGAAATCTATCACCATGACCCCTTTCTATGAAAAAAGCAAGGAATACATTCTCCCTGTAATGTTGATTCTTTTAGGAAAGGAAAGAAAGCAAAGTATCATTTACTAAGGACCTACGTTCACAGTGCTGTACTATACTATTTAATTATGTTATCTCTCAAGTCAAGCTATGAGGTAGGTCTATCCTTCCTTACAGGCAACAGGTAATTTGCTCAAAGTTTTAAGGGGAAATATCCAGTTCCAGGTCCAACTGCCAGGTCTATCCAACTTTAATACCTTTCTCTTTTTATTACACCTTCAGCAAATCTCAAAATGAGCATGCCAATTCTCCCATATGAGAAAGAATCCAATTTAATTTTCAGTTCCAAAACAAAACAAATAATTCCAACTAAGTGTCCACCAATAGGCTGTTTCTATCAATTAGCACACTGCTTTTCTGCCTCCTACTAGTCTTTATTTTATTTAAGTATCCAAAGTCTTTATTTTTTTTATTTGTTATTATTTTTTTGTGGTATGTGCCCCTAGCAGGAACCGAACCCGGGTCTCTCTGGTCCGCAGGCCAACGCTCAACCACTGAGCCAAACTGGCCAGGGCTGCCTCCTACTAGTCTTTAAAATGTACTGAAGGACTCACACAAAATGCTCCTTTTAAATCTTAAATCTATAAAGAAAGCAGTACCTGTTGACAACCACAGCGCACTGAAGCAGAGGCAAGTATAAAACAGGTACAGGCTTCTCAACCACTTCACAGATGTCTGCCTACAAGGTCCTGATAAAGTCCAGGAAGCAGAACTTGGCTTGACTCCCAGCCTCTTCTCCATTGCCTTCCAGATAGGCAGAACCAGTCCACTAAAAGAAAGAAAATAAATAATAATGCCAAGTAATTAATAACTGATTCCTAGAAATATGGCATGCTAGACAGAGAACATGATAAATTAGAGGGAAAAAAATTTCAAGTTTGTCTTTCACTGCTCATCTCTGCCCATAAATTTTACACCTGAGCTTTGACAAAGCCTATAATTATCAGGATAAAAACATGCAAGGAATGTGAAATGAATCCACTGTAAAACCGAAACGCCTTATGTTCCATTATTTTCTAGTCTAAGAGTAAATCGTCTACCTGGAAGAATAGAACGAGTACCAGCCTGAAAAAAAGATGTGAGCTTCAGTTCCAGCTCTGCCTAACAGCTTTGTGACTTTGACCAAACACTTTCTTATTCATGAAAAGAGGTTGGACCTGATGATTTTATGTAGCTGTGTTTTTAAATTTCATGTGATTGTCTTTAGGCAGGGCATTTACTCTCCAGTTTGCTACTGCCCCCACGACTATTATCTTTAAAATTTATCCAATTTATACTTCAATGTCACCTCCCTGACCCCTAGAATAATTTGCAATTCCTGACTTGAATCCATATATATATTCAACAAATATTTACCCAGCCCCTATTATGTGCCAGACATTATACTGGCTACTCCAGAATCTAGGGGCTATTTAGGTCCCTTCCAAAGGAAATGATTTTCCATCAGTTTCTTCCTTCTTACACAACTTCTCTACATCATATAATTATATAAATCTTGGCATCATTATGAGAGTCGATCAAGTTCTAAAGAAGCAATTCAAAAATCTTCTGTCCTAAATGTGCACCTGTCATCCACATCTGGAAAATGGCACAGACTGACAACCCCCACCACCAGCCAACATACAGGGAGATTGGCATTGCATGGGTTGGATATCAACACTAACACCAGGAAATAGACAAACACACAGCTGCAAAACTGAGATACAGCCCAAAAAAAGGCTTTTACTAAGGCTTAAAGCATCTAAAGGCCTTCATTTTTCTCATTCATTTCCATCTATTCCTATTCCTAGTTGTTTTGTAGTTGTACATTAGGGAAAAGAGGGAGCAGAAAGGTGTGTGGGCCAGAGAATGCTCAAGAGATTAATAAATGGAGCCTAAATTAGAAATCTATCCAGCAACTTCTCTAGCCTCCAAGATGTAATGGATGAGGGGTGTGTGTGTGTGTGTGTGTGTGTGTGTGTGTGTGTGAGAGAGAGAGAGAGAGAGAGAGAGAGAATGTGTATATATCTTACCCAACACATTTCTGTCTACCACAAAAGGCTTTTAAACTCAAGGTTATTCAACACCTGCCATCAACAGTGTGACAGGTGGGCGATAGAAGCATTAAAGAAATGAATAGGTTTTAAAAACAGGAGTAATAAACACCATTGGATTAGCAAGCTGATTAGAAGTACAGTGTCTTACAAACCATACAAGAGAGAGCTATTTCCCTGTGAACTCCCAACCAGTCATTCCTATGAAACCTACAATTGCCCAAGGGCACAAATCACTGCTAGGATCCAGGCAAAGGCTTGCTGACCAGGGCAGGAACAACACATCACCAAAATCCAAATGGTTGGTTATAGAATCAAAGGTAACAGCCTAAGGAGAGAACACACACGCCCACAATACTTGACAAATGAAAATCTAGAAAAGCTTGCAACAGTTCTGGCATTTGGGGCGTTACAAGTACACGCGAAATAAAAGCACTCTCTGTTGCAGCAGCTGTTCAGACACAGCAGGGGGTAATGTTTAGTTAATACTTCAGGTTGATGGGGAATGTATCATAGTTCAGTCTGTCAGCTACATACGTGGAACTCCACTTATGTACACAGCGATAAGATATGCTTGAACAACGACGGAGCAAGTCTGAAACAGCCTAATCACCTGGTGTATGTAATCAACAATAAAGCTCCCTTTTTAAAAAATAAAAGTCTCAGATATTTGGGAAAGTTACAGAACAGACTGTCATGAATAAATAGCTTTGCTTATATTTGCAGACATTGTTTTCCAAATAGCTGGAAAAACGAACAGATTGTTTGGGGGGCGGGGGGGGGGGGTAGTCATCTTTCCAATTTGTTCCTAGCTTCCAGTCTGTTAATCACATAAAGCACAATTAGAGTCAGCTAATGCTATTCACCTACTGCATCTATTGTCGCCGGGCACAACCACAAGGTGAGAGAAGGCAAAGCTTTCCTGGAATGCTGCCTGAAGTTCTCTCTTTTGACTTCCTTCATTTCACCTTTGTGCTCCCTGCGGCCACCACAGGACCCCTCGGTGGGGCACAATTTTCCAAGTCCTGGGTTAGGCTGATTTCGCATAGTAATGTACACGTCGTGCTCAGCCCCGCCCTCCTTAATCTGCATCAACTTTCCATCTTGGTGGAAACACGAAACACCAGAGACAGCAGCGAAGGGCGAAGCTGCAGAAGTCGAGGGAGGTAAGACAACGGCGCCCGGAGCCGGTCTGTCCGTCAGGGGCTGGAGGGAACTGCAGGATCAGGCCCCGGCCTGAAAGAAGAGCAGTGCAGCCTGTGACTCGACCTCCGCACCTGTAAAGCCAGAAGCAGCTGGCTTGCGCTAGCCGGGACAGAAGCTTCACCTCCGGGTCCCAACACCCGGCCAGCTCAGCCCCAGAAATAGCCCGTTCCGCTTGCCCCTCCCCTGAGCTCGTGGTCCTCGGCCAGGCAGCCAGCCGCCTCGGGCCACCTACCGGGGCTCAGGGACACACAGCGGGGCCCCCGCTATCGGGTGCTTCCGCCTCCTCCTGGTCCATGGGGTCGGGGCCCCAACCTCCGCTCCCCTCACCCAGAGGAGGAGGAAGAGGGAGAAGGTAGGGCGGGCTTCCCACCCGGCAGCTCCCTCTCGCCTCAGCCTCCCTGGACAGCGACGGCGGCCGGAAACGCCGCCTCCTCCCACCTCCGGGGCTCAACCCGGAAACACACTCTTCATGCTAAGCAAGCCCTCCTGCCCTACCCCCCGGAACTCAATTCCAGCCACGAGACCGAGGGGAAGGAGGGGAAGGGCTGGAAGGTAGGACTACCTACGGGCAAAGAAACCTGAGCCTCCAGGCTGTCGCCTCCCGCTCTCCAGAGGCAGTCTGCACCTTCGCCTGCCCTGCACGAGCCCGGGGCCCTAGGTTCGGGCAATACCCACAAGCAAGATGGCGGCAACGGCAGCACCTCCTACGGCTTAGCGCCCCTCCGTGCTATTGGCCAGAACTTGGAGTGAAGCCGCCGCGGATTGGTCGAGAGCGCTGCGGGGGTGGGGGTGGAGCTGCAGCAGCCTGGAGCCCCGAGTGGGCAACGCGGCGTGAGCAGCGGCCCCAGGCTCCCGGAGCATCGCGCTCGGAGAAGACCTCGCCGCTCCGGGCCGCAGCCTGGTGAGCTCAGCCCCCTTCAGGCCCTCCCCTACATCCCAGCCGGAGCCTCTCCGAGCCGGCGCTGATCGACGCCGACACACCCCGGAGACCCTATCGTGACTCCATCGCGCCATATCGCGACATCATCGTGCCCTGTCGAGACTCCATTTTGTCACAGCTCTTTTTAATATATAGCTATATATTTTTTTAATTTGCCCTGTCATCTTTGAGGGCTGTCCCATGTCGTGATTTTGCCGTGATCTCTCCGTGACATCACCGCGCCATCGTGAAGTGTGATCTCATCGCTGCCCTGTCGTGACTTCATCAATGTCGTGTTGTGACCTGGCTGCGGCGGGACAGGTGGTGACCGCCAGGAACCTTCCTCCCCTTCTCATCTCCCCATCTCAGCAGCCCCTCTTCGATTATCCGGCTTTTGGATTCTCCGTTGTCTTGGGAGCTACCCAGGACCCTTTCTTGCATCTCCAGCCCCTGCCGGCATCCACAGACTGGTAGTGGGGCGGGGAGGGTGAGGAGAGGAAGAGCAAGCGGTAATTCTGCTGCTCCTTCTTCTTCTGCCGCTGCTGCTGCTGCTGCTGCTGCAGCTTCTGCTCGAGGGAGGGAAAGGAGAGGAGGGAAGGAGCCTGCGGGGGCGACTGAGAGCCCTGGCTGGAGGGGTGGGGTCCCCAAAGGAGCCTCCAAGCCTTCGCTGCCCTGCGCCCTGTGCCCTCACTTCAGCTGAGGCTTGTGTCCTGCCTCTTCTGAAGAAAGGAGGGGAAAGGAAACCTAGGATGCCCTTTTCCCTCTTGTCAGCCTGAGTGCGGATAATCGAACTTCACCCTTGTATGTCTCCATTCCTGCTTGTCTGTCCTCACCACTCCCTCCCTGTGTGCCTTAGTGGTGGGAGATAAAACTAGGCTTCTGGTGCCAGGGGACAGCTGAATAGTGGGGCCAGCCCCCTCCAACCCCTAGTAGGTTGGTGAGGAGAGCTGTCCAACTGAGCAGCAGGGTGCATGGTCCTTTCATTCTCACTTTCTGGAGGTGACCTTGGACCAGGGTCCCTTCATCCCTAAAGATTTGAAGGTCCAGCCCCTTAAAGGGAGGTCAGTCCTGAGGAGCCCATCCCTCCTGGTCCTCCCCTCCTTCTGTGCTAATCCCTCCTTCCATCTTCCACTCCCACCCCCATGCCTGCCCCTCCTCTGCAGAGGGATGCTCAGTCCCTCTTGTGTTCACAGTTGGGCAAGACGGGCATCATGGCCTCGGATTGTGAGCCAGCTCTGAATCAGGCAGAGGGCCGAAACCCCACCCTGGAGCGCTACCTAGGAGCCCTCCGTGAGGCCAAGAATGACAGCGAGCAGTTTGCAGCCCTGCTGCTAGTAAGGAGCTGGCTGAAAATTGGGAGGAGGGAAGGGCTGGGTGGTTGGGCCCCCCTAGGAATGGGGTCAACAAGTCCCCAAGGATATTTCAGTGGTGCTGGCAACCCTGGAGTCACCAAAGTAGGCCCAAGATGCCTCTTTGGACTGAGTAAAGGGGTAAAGGGGAGAATGGGGGTGAATAATGCTTGTGGCCCTAGGAGCTGCCTGGGTCTGCTCTCTGAGGTGTCCCAGAGCAGATGGGAGCTGACTGATAGGGTAACAGCAGCAGGTAGTAACTAGTGCAGAGTACTTGAGTGCTGGGGATGATTGTTCTGGGGGTGGAAAGAATAGCAGGACTGCAAGTGACCGGGAAGGGGTCCCAGGGGATGGCCAGGATTGCAGTAGGTAGGATGAGGGTAAGGGAACTGGCTCTGGGCTTAACTCTATTGGAGGAACCCAAGCTGGGGACAGCAGAGCAGAAGCTGCAGTGCTAGGAAGGGGGGTTGATGTGTGGGGGGTGAAGGGAGGAGGGAGTACAGCCCGCTGCTTGTTTGCCATGGCAACAGGGAGAAGGCTCTGGAGTCAAGGGCTCACACTGCAGCAGAGGAGGTGTTTAGGTGAAATATAAGGGGAAATGTTTTGACAGGCAGAGTGGCGAGGCACAGGAGCCATTTCCCCTGAGAAGGTGCCAGGAATGGATCAGAGACTTCTCTGGAGGGAGCAATTAGGATGGGACTCTAAATCCTTGGAGGATTTTAAACACAGAGTTCTAAGCCCCTTCCAACTCAAGTTGCGGGTATCTAGATTAGACATCAGGAAGAACTTCCCAACTGATCAGGTGATGAAATGGCAAAATGAGTAGTCGTGGAGGCCTGGATCTCCCTTCCACGGAGTTAATGATAGATGAGGATCCTAGAGGCCATACCTGTCTATCTCCAGGGAGAAGGAAGGAGCTAGATGAGGCTCCTGACCCCAGAGGGAGTCCTGTTACTTAACCTAATCAATGCCCCAGTGTGCAAGGGACAGTCATTGCCACCTCTTTCATCCTGCTGATAGCACATACTCCCCTTCAGGTGACCAAGGCAGTAAAAGCAGGTGACATCGATGCCAAAACTCGGCGGCGGATCTTTGATGCCGTGGGCTTCACCTTCCCCAATCGTCTCCTGACCACCAAGGAGGCGCCAGATGGCTGCCCTGACCACGTTCTTCGAGCCCTGGGCGTGGCCCTGCTGGCCTGCTTCTGCAGTGACCCTGAACTGGCTGCCCATACCCAGGTCCTGAACAAGATCCCTATCCTTAGCACCTTCCTCACAGCCCGGGGGGACCCTGATGATGCTGCCCGCAGGTCCATGATTGATGATACCTACCAATGCCTGACGGCTGTGGCAGGTACACCCCGTGGGCCCCGGCACCTCATTGCTGGTGGCACCGTGTCTGCCCTGTGTCAGGCATACCTGGGGCATGGCTATGGCTTTGACCAGGCCCTGGCACTTCTGGTGGGGCTGCTGGCTGCTGCTGAGACACAGTGCTGGAAGGAGGCAGAGCCTGACCTGCTGGCCGTGTTGCGGGGCCTCAGTGAAGATTTCCAGAAAGCTGAAGATGCCAGCAAGTTTGAGCTCTGCCAGCTGCTGCCTCTCTTTCTGCCCCCGACAACCGTGCCCTCTGAATGCCTCCGGGATCTGCAGGCCGGGCTGGCACGCATCCTCGGCAGCAAGCTGAGCTCCTGGCAGCGCAACCCCGCACTAAAGCTGGCAGCCCGCCTGGCGCACGCCTGTGGCTCCGATTGGATCCCGGCGGGCAGCTCCGGGAGCAAGTTTCTGGCCCTGCTGGTGAATCTGGCGTGCGTGGAGGTACGGCTGGCACTGGAGGAGTCAGGCACAGAGGTAAAAGAAGATGTGGTGACTGCCTGCTATGCCCTCATGGAGTTGGGGATCCAGGAATGCACTCGCTGTGAGCAGTCACTGCTTAAGGAGCCACAGAAGGTGCAGCTTGTGAGCATCATGAAGGAGGCCATTGGAGCTGTCATCCACTATCTGCTGCAGGTGAGGGTGCAGTGATCCACAAAGGGAATCCACTGTGTGGGGAGCCAGTAGGCAAGGGAAAGGAGGAAGTAAAACTCCTGCACCTTCATGTAATGGGGAGACAGTGAAGATGCTCTTACCAAGGGCTGATCCTGTAGCACTCCCAGGAGTAATGTGTGACCGAGCCTCCCTCCTTCCCTCCCTGTGCCTCCACACAAGCACCATACCACACACCATATGTGCACTCACATCACAGTACACATGCGCGTGCACACAACACAGTAACCTCCCACTCGCAACCCTCCCCCCAGGACACACACGCACGCACGCACACAAAGTCGAAGCCGTCTATTCTGCTCAGTCTATAACATTGTTTTACACATGTGCACATAGGAAACCCCACAGGGAAAGGGAGCAGGGCTGCCTGGTTCCTGCTCTCTGTCGAGGTTCAGGTAACTCCTCCCAGGTCAGAGCTGCTGTAGAGGGAATGTTTACTTAGCTCCGGACCTCCGAGTTTCCTTCTAGCCCTGAGATACTTTAGAGGTGGCAGGACGGGGGAATGCTAGTCCCAGCAAGTACAAGGGCATGACATCTGAAGTCCAGTTGGCTCAGCAGACGTGCCTTGAGGGCCTGCCTTTGAAGAGCTCCCAAGCCAGAATTCCCTTCTAGTTGTGTTATTCCAAAGCTGGCTGGCATGCTGTCCAGGCAGGGGAGGGACTCTGGTCCTGCTCCATCTCAAGGGGTCCTATGGCAACAGGTGGGGCCAGAGAAGCAGAAGGAGCCCTTTGTGTTTGCTTCGGTTCGGATCCTGGGTGCCTGGTTGGCCGAGGAGACCTCATCCCTGCGCAAGGAAGTCTGCCAACTGCTGCCCTTCCTCGTTCGCTATGCCAAGACCCTCTATGAGGAGGCTGAGGAAGCCAATGACCTCTCTCAGCAGGTGGCCACCCTGGCTATCTCCCCCACCACCCCAGGGTCCACCTGGCCAGGGGATGCTCTCCGGTGAGTTTGTAGTTACAGTCTGTCCAGCCAAGATGTTTTAAAGAAAAGTGTAATACTACTCTCCCCAAAACTGGGCTGTGCCAGACTTCCTGATTGGGGCATGAGATTGCCTTGAGGGTTTCTGTATGTTTGAGAGAGCTTGTTCCCACAGGACTCCTGGGCTGCCAGGTCTCACTTGTCAACCCCAGATTTCTCTATAAGGAGAGAACTCATGCTTATTGAATATCATGGCAGACATTTATCTGTACCCTTTATCAGAACGATCTCATTAGGTACACACAGCCAATCTGTGACATAAGACTCATCCACATTTTCAGGATGAGAAAAAGGCTCAAGGAGATTAAAAATCCCTTGCCCGTACTCAACACCATGTGGCAGAGCCCAAGTCTGAGCCCAGGCCTGTGCATCTCCAAAGCTTGTACTTTTTCTGTGGCACCTATGAGAATGTGTCCTCCCCTACTTCCATTTCTTTTAGGTGGGGTACCCCCGAAAAGGGAATCTCTCCCCCCTCCTCACACATCTGTCCCTTCCATACCCCCAGGCTCCTTCTGCCCGGCTGGTGCCACCTGACAGTTGAAGATGGGCCCCGGGAGATCCTGATCAAGGAGGGGGCACCCTCACTTCTGTGCAAGTATTTCCTGCAGCAGTGGGAACTCACATCCCCTGGCCATGACACCTCAGTGCTGCCCGACAGCGTGGAGATCGGCCTGCAGACCTGCTGCCACATCTTCCTCAACCTCGTGGTCACTGCACCAGGGTTGATCAAGTGAGGCTGGGCAAGAGGTTGGAGGAAGCAGCGGGGGGACTACTCAAACTTGCCCCAAATCTCCTTCTCCTACTTTGTTCCCTGTGCCCATGGGTTCCTGTTAGAATTAGCATGAAAGGATCTCAGAATAGACAGAATCACCCCACACAAGGATGTGGCATCTCTGGAACCCTTTGGGCATGTCTGCAAATTCCACTCATAACCCAGTCTCTGCTCCCCAGATGCCATGAATGGAGCCCAAATTAACTCCACCCTGCTGCCTAATTTCTTGCCAAATCCTGGCGTGGTGAAGCTGGGAGCCCACGATCCCAGGTTTATCCAGGGTTTGGTCTGGCTCTATCAACACCCCCCAACCCCCAACCCCCCCCACACATATACACACAACATCCTCTCATCTTTACCTCCCTTTCTTCCCAGGCGAGATGCCTGCTTCACATCTCTTATGAACACCCTGATGACATCGCTACCTGCACTCGTGCAGCAGCAGGGGAGGCTGCTTCTAGCTGCCAATGTGGCCACCCTGGGCCTCCTCATGGCCCGGCTCCTTAGCACCTCTCCAGGTAAGTCCTGAGGACCCAGTTCTAATGGATGGGGACAGACAGCCCAGGCGGACCTGTTGGCCACTGGGTATGTCACCATTTTCAGAAAATGGTTTTACAGAATTTTCCAATCCAAAGGAACTCTTTGAAGTATGTCTTCATCCCCCACCCCACCCTACCCATCGAAAACGATAACATTCTCTTCCTTCTGAAGACTTTTAAGGCAAGGTCTGGTGGGTGTAAGTAGAGGCCTACTCAGAAAATCCAGCAGCCCAAGGAATCTGAATCCAGTGTTTTCAAGGTGGAGCCACCCCCAGCCTTGAGTCAGAAACCTGACTTCTCTCCATTGAGGTTTTTCTCTGCTTGACACCTCATCTCCCTTGTGACAGGCTTCAGTGCTTAATGCTCTTCTGCACATACCCTCTCCCCAGCCCTGCTTTACTCTGGCTATGTGAGGGGAGATGGGGGCTGTCCCCATTTGTTGTCTCCCACTTTGGCCGTGGGTGTCTGCTTGGGTCCCTCTGTCCCTGCCTGTTCCCTGTGACCCATCTGTCAGGTTGGAGGAGCTGAGCAGATGCCTGGGAACGGGGTGTACTGAGTCTGTACCCTCAGCTGCCTCTGTTCCCTATAAGGATCCCAGGGGAGTACCCAACAGCAGGAAGAAGAGCCCCGCCCTGCTCTCTAGCCCCCAAACTCTCTCAGTCCCAAGCAGCATCACACAGACCCTGAGTAGAGCCCCAGTGCTGGTTCACCCACAGATGCCACCAGGTTAGACTAACAGCCTCTGGGAGAGAGTCTGCAGTGCAGGGGTGACCCCCAGCCCAGCAGTTAAGCAAAGCTAGGTCATCAGCTCCCGATCCCCTCTGGCGCCCTCTTCTGGCCCAAGAATCAAATTGGTGCAACTTCCTCAGCCTGTTGAGCTAGTCCTAGGCCCAGCAGGACTCCTATCACTACTCAGACCGTAGGAAGGTCTGACCATGAGGTTGAGTGCACCAAGGTTATTACATTTAATTTTCACAATAAATGTCTAAAGTTATAGCCATCTTATAGGCCTTACTTTACAAGTGAAGAAACAAGACCCAGAAAAGTGAATTACCCAAGGTCACAGTAAAATCAAAGGCAGGGTTAGAACCCAGGAAGGCTCATTCCAGGCTATGCTTCACTCCCTGAGTGCCCACACAGGATGGCAAAGTAAGGGTCTGGCAAAGGAGCTGGCTCATCTGGTTCACGTCCCCCACTTCCTTCTTGCCTTCCAGCTCTTCAGGGAACACCAGCGTCCAGAGGTTTCTTTGCGGCTGCCATCCTCTTTCTGTCACAATCCCACGTGGCGCGGGCCACACCGGGCTCAGACCAGGCAGTGCTGGCCCTGTCCCCTGACTATGAGGGCATATGGGCCGATCTGCAGGAGCTCTGGTTCCTGGGCATGCAGGCCTTCACAGGCTGCGTGCCACTGCTGCCCTGGCTGGCCCCCGCTGCCCTGCGCTCCCGCTGGCCACAGGAGCTGCTCCAGTTGCTAGGCAGTGTCAGCCCCAACTCCGTCAAGCCTGAGATGGTTGCTGCCTATCAGGGTGTCCTGGTGGAGTTGGCACGGGCCAATCGGCTGTGCCGGGAGGCCATGAGGCTGCAGGCCGGTGAGGAGACAGCCAGCCACTACCGTATGGCCGCCCTGGAACAATGCCTGTCTGAGCCCTGAAGGGTTTTCCACTGGGGAGAAACCCAGGGGTGGGCAGTGAGGGAAAGAGGGTGGAGGCATCTTCCCTGAAGCCCCCAAACTGGATTCCCCTCCCCAAACTCCCCCCCAAACACCCCAGCTTTCTGGCTTTTTCAAGGGCAAGGGCGTGGTGCCCACCCTTCAAGTGTAAGGAACTGCGTCCTGCCCCCTGGGGCAGCTCAGGGACAGGGATTGTCTTGGAAATGAACGTGGCTGTCCCCGCCGGGGATTGGAGTAGCCCCCAGGGAGGGGGGCACTAGGTGTCATTGTGCCCAATGTCTGGCTTCCCCACAGGAGGGAGGCCTTAGGGTGGGACAAGGCTGGCAGGAGCTGGCTGCTTCAGCCCATATGCCCTGCCGGCCAGGGTATGGGCTCCCCTAGGCTGTGGTGCCCTTCTGGCCTCCCAGGTCCATGTCCTTTAAATTGGCCATTTGATTCTTGTCCTTGGCCCTATTGAGCAGAGAGCAGGCTCAGGCCATTAACATCGCAGTTCTTCCTATCAACTTCAGTGACCCAGGGTTTGAAATGCCACATCCATCCAGGAAAACCTAGGGCAGAGGGCCTGGGGTGGAGTGGAATCTTCCACCTGAGCCTCATTGAGGGGACCCAGAAGCCCTTGGGCCCTGGTCTCTAAGCTTTTGTGTCGTGTTGCAGCAGAGTGATTTCAAGGGTTGGGGGTTATTTATTTTGCCTGTCCTTATCCCTGCTGGGACACCTGAGCATCTGATTTCTGTCCCCCTGGTGTCATCTGGCCTGGCTGGAGCCAGGAACAGGAGGGACACTTCCCCAGAAACCGCATGTTTCCCTAGTGATTGCACACCATTGCCATCGTGGTGCCTGGCTTTAAATCCCACCCCTGCTTACGACTCCTCTGCAGAGAGACGCGACTGGCGACTCCAGCAGGGACTACCATTCTTAGGAACCCAGGGGGACCCCCCACACACCTGATTCCTTGCCCCCCCCTTCTACCCCAAGTGCGTTCTGTGATCGCCAAGTTCAAAGCTGTGCACATGTGGACACTCAATAAATGTTCATTGAAGACAGGATGGCTCCTGTGTCGTCTGTCCTGCCCCTTCCCTTTCCCAGGTCCCAGCAGCTCACAACCACCATTTACTGAACACAAGCCCTGCTAATAAGCACTGTTATTCAGCTGGCCTAAGAAGCCTATGAAGCAGACATTATCCTGAATTTACAGTTTAAGAAACTTAGGCATGAGTAGGTGGTTTGCTCAAGTTGTTATAGCTGCTAAGTGCCAGAGCCAAGACTTCATGCTGGCCATCCTACTTCTCAGGCCACCTTCATTGCTAAAGCAGTTACAAACTCCACGTTGATGTGACCAAGCCTAGTGGGGTCCCGGTGAACTGTACTAAGGAAGTGCTGCCCCTCATGTCAGCAAGTTGTTGCCAAGTGAGATGGGAAAGGGCCCGAGTCCAGCAGGAGATGAGCAGAGCACCCACTGCTTCACCGGGCCTGAGCCAAAGCTGTCAGGTTGGATCCAGACCAGCCCTGGGCCCACACTCTCCGCAGACTTTTCTCCACCCACAAGCATTCTCTGAGCATGTCCTAAGTGCCTACTTATGATTGGCTATGTGTAGACATAGAGGAACATTCTCTTATTGGATGTACTGAAAAGTCATTCTTAGCATGGATTCCCTGAAACCTGAAAAATATGAAAATACATACCCTGCCCTCAAACAGCTTAAAATCTAGAGGGGAAACATACAAGGCTTCTAAAGGTAGAAACAATTGCTCCTATGGGGGTCTGAACAACGTGTGGCTGGAGCCTGAGAGTCCCTCAGCCTGGCTGAATAAGTCGAGAAAAGTCTCTGTTCTGAGACCTGAGGCTGAGGAGGGCTTGTCAGATAGACAAGCAGAGAACAGCAGGCATAAAGGCATGCAAGCTTGGGAACTGCAAGTAGGTCATTAATGCTACAGTGGAGAGAGTGGGGAGTGGGGAAGATGGGGTTGAACCAGTGGACATGGACCAGATCTTAAGTCCTGGGGTGCTGTGCTAAGAAACTATTGGATATGGGATCATGCTGAGACTGCAGACTTTGGAGCAGATTTGAATGTGATCTAGTTTGCATTTAAGCAAGATGATTTGGGCTGCAAGAGGGACAACGGAAGCACAGAGCTCAGAGAGGAGTTGGTAAGTCTGAACTAAGCCAGTGTCAGTGAGGATGGAGAAAATATAAGTAGGAGTTATTTAATAGGGCTTGGTGATTAATTGGAAATGAAGAGGAATGAAAAGTCAAGGACAACTTCCAGATTCCTGATCTAGGCCACGGAGTGGATAAGGCCTTTCACTGTCATGAGGAACACTGCAAAATATAAGCTTTAAACGTAAAGGGTGCATTTGTGCTACTTGTAGAATATCCAGGGAGCAGTTGCTTTCTGCACTATGGAGCTGAGACAAGTCTGGATAAGCAGCAGATTTGTAAGTTGTTGATACAGCCTGTACTATAGAGGGTCCTTAAAGTCATGGGAGTGATTAAGATGATCTGGGGAACTGCAAAGAGAAGATAAGGGTCCCAAAGCAAGTGGCAACCACTCATAGTCCCTGCTCTCAAAGTACTCTCCCTTGTGCTGTGGAGGAGCCAAACGCTGAAGAAAGCCTCATAATACAAGGCTGACTGAGCTCTGTCTGCACTTTAGTGAGGGATAGTCAGAGAATTCTGGGCTTCGGAATAGGGAGGGGGTTAGGCTAACTTGAAGAGGCCAAGCTTGCTCCTGGTAGGGAGAAAGGGAAACCCGAGCTGCAGTTGCGAGATATAGCCACAAGGTGGAGCCTAAGCATCTTGTGCCAGATTTCCCCTACCTGCACTCAGCCTGGCCCAGAGCAGGAGGTTGTCAAGGGCTGGGAGGAGAGCGGCTGTGCCAACAATAAAGGAGGCAGGCCTGAGTTTTATCTTTTTTTTAAAAGTACAAATGTAAGCTCACTTTTTTAAAAGAGAGGGAAAATTTTGAGCCGTGGAGAACAATATGCCAAGTATGCCAATGGGAGTGTATATGTTTGAACATGTGCACCTATATGTCAATATATATCATGTGTTCCCATCTTGTGTATTTCCCATGAGTGTCTCTGTGCATGTTGTGTGTCCCATGTGCTTAGGAGTGTCTGCATGTGTGCCCCATGCATATCCCAGGCCTCCACACGTGTGCATGTGTCCCAGAGAGTGGGCAACTAGCACTGTCCACCTCCATGACTCAGAGAATGAGGAGTCCCTTGGCCTTGAAAGAGAAGGGCAACAAAGTCTGAAACCATAGGACCCTTAAATTTTTAGGAGCCCCACAAATCAACAGCAGACCATGAAGAAAACACCTCCCCCCAGTAGCCATAAGCAAAATCCCTTATTCCTCAGATGACTTCCTCAATTATACCTGGGTTCTATGTCTAGCTACCCAGGGTCATGCTCACAGGGAAGCTTCCTATAAGAACGCTCAACCCAGACAGCGTGGCTCAGTGGATTGAGCATCATCCCATGGACTGAGAGGTCCCGATACAATTTCCAGTCAGGGCACATACCTAAGTTGTGGGCTCAATCCCCAGTAGGGGGCATGCAGGAGGCAGCTGATTGATGTTTCTCTCTCACATAGATGTTTCTATTGCTCTCTCCCATCTTCTCTCTCTCTAAAAAAATAGAAGAAGAACGCTCAATAGACTAAAGGATTCATAAACTCATCCATTCATTCATTTATTATTTCTTTAATAAGCATTCATGAGCACCTGCCATTCGCCAAACCCAGTGCACAACACAGTCTCTGTTTCTCCTTTCATCTTCTTAGGTAGCTCATGAGGCAGGAAAGGAAAACTAGTTGTAGCTTCAAAGAGCCTGGAATGCTGGTTAGCGTGTTTAAACTTTTTTTCCCTGAAGATGGGCCATGGGGGATGGGAGGCAGCAGAGTTTTCAGTAGGGAAGTTACACAGTCTAGTCACTCTTGTTGCTAAATGGAATGGAATTGGATCAAAAGAGATATGAATTAAGGCAGGCGACCAGTTAGCAGGTTTGCAATGGTCCTAAGACTTTACTGTACTTCTGAGTCACCTTATGGGCTTATTAAAACACATATTGCCAAGGCCCCACCCCCACAGTTACTGATTCAGCATGTTTGGGGTGGGGTTCAAGAACTGGCACTTCTAACACATTCCAAAGTGATGTAGGTGATGCTGGTCCACTTTGAGAACTGCTAGTCTATGAGAATGAGTACAGTAGCTTAAAGTGTCGACAGAGGGGTAGAGAGATATATTTAAGGGTTAGAAATGACACTATTCCATAAGAGTATCTTATAGAAGGGAGGGGAAGGTCAGAGTCTGGGATGCCTGTATTTCTAATTCAAAGGATGGTGGTGCCATTTATGGAACTACAGGAAGCAGAAGGATAAGCAGGTAGGGATCGCTGGTGGGGGTGGACAAGGTGTTGAGTTCGGTTTGGGACTTGTCAAGTTTCAGATGGTGGCAACAAGATGTCTGGAGGAAATATCCTACTGGCAATTGCATCTATGAGTCTGGATTTTTAGTGAGAGATACAGACTGGAGATAACAAGGCTGGGAGATAACAACAGACAGGTAGTCATTAAAGTTTTGAGAGGGGATGAACTAACTCATGAAGACTGCAAATAGGAAGAAGAGGCAGAAGCTTCAATTTTGAGGGTGAATAACTGACATTAAGGAGGTGAAAGTAAAGAGAGGAAATAGAGAAGAAGACTGAGAAATGGCCAGAGAAGAGAGGAGAATAAGGCAAAAAGGGAGTGTCTTAAGCTGCAAGGAAGTGAGGAAACCCAACGAAGCCACTGGACAGGTAGCCTGTCCTGTCATTCTGGCCTTCCCAAGCCTGCTGGGGAGAGCAGGGAATTCCCACAGCTGGGCATAAGCATTATCAGCCTTGCTGTGCTGGACTTCTGCTAAAGGGATCCCACCAACCTGCATGCCATGCATTGACACACATACACCTGTCCTGGAGCCTGACTTCTGATGTCCTTTACTGAAGTTGAGGGTGGGGGAAAGAGTGGTCTTGCCACAGACTCACACACCCACAGGTATTGACACACACAAACAGACTCCTGATCTCTAATCTATCCTGGGCACAAAGGCTGCAGAACTGCCCAAATCTGCTTCACCTACCACTCTAGCTGGTGGTTCCCACCTCCAGAAAGTTCTCAGTGATGAATCTTTGACTGCTGTTAGATTTCTCCTTCCCCAGAGCCTCCAGGCTGAGATGACCCAGACCTGAGCTCTGCACCTACCATGTACCACCTTGGATGCCCCCTCAAGTCTCCTGCACTTACATTTCATGGGCTACAGGTGTTTCTTCTAACTCCCCTTCTCCTCTAATCTCAATATTTTGCCTTTACATTCTCATCTTCCACTTTACTAGAAAGAGGCCTGAGAGAACATCTAGTGCTCTCTGCCCTCCCCTACTTTATTGTTCTTGTTGAAGTTGCAGAAACCGAGATCAGAGAGAAAAGGGAATTTGCCCAGAATCACAGACAAATTAAAGTCAGGACTAAATTCTAGGCACCTGAGTCTCAAGCAACAAAGACGAGGAATTCTGAGCACAGAGAGGGGCTAGAAGCTGACTACCTCGGCTCTGCCACTTAACTAGCTGCTTGACCTTGGGCAAGTCAGTTCACCTCTCTGCCTCATTTTCCTCACCTGAGAATGGGCATGATAAGGCTGTCCATCTCATAGGGCTGTTGTGAGAGTTAAATAGCTCAATATGCATCAAGTACTTAGCACAGAGTCTGGCACACTCTGTAATAAGTGTTTGCTGTGACTATTTCTACTATGCTCTGCTCTGAACATCTTCTAGCTTTTTAAAAACACCTTCCTGCCCTGGCCAGTTTGGCTCAGTGGTTAGAGTGTCAGCCTGTGGTCCAGAGAGACCTGGGTTCAGTTCCCGCTAAGGGCACGTACCTCAGTTGCAGTTTGTTCCCGGCCCTGGTTGGGCCTTGTGGGAGGCAGCCACTCAATGTGTCCCTTTCACGTCGATGTTTCTCTCTCTCTCCCTCCCACTCTATCTGAACAAAAAATGAAAAAATGTCCTCGGGTGAGGATAAAAAATAAAAACACCTTCCTTCTGCTTTCCCCTTAGTAGTCCTCTCATTTCCCTTTCTTTAATCTCTGTCCCTGCTTCTCTCAGGAGGGCAGGGTTGAGTTTTGGGAAAAGAAAGATGACTGCAGAGACTGGAACATATTGAGAGCCAGCCAGTATCTACCATGGTAACACACAGCCTGTGCATGCTAGTGTAAGGATCACATACTGTCCACAGAGTGTCAGTTACACACAGATTCACGCAGCAGGCCCACATTCAATCAGCTAAGGCTCTCCTGGCTTCAGAAACGTCTTGAGCTCTCCTCAGATGGAACTTAAGCCAACTCCAGTCCCAGGCAGCTCTCTCTGTCTGGCCAGATTATGTCTCTAGCTTCCTTAGACCCTGGCTTGGCACTGGGAATTAACAACCCCAGGGAAGCCTAAGGTAAGTGGGCACCCTCAGAGGTGCTTTGATCTGGAAACATTCAGAGAGACTGTGGTGGCCCCCTACACACACACACACACACACACACACGCATGCACATGAGCCGGTGGGCTTGAGTCTGAAGCTTACAAACTTCTTCCACATTCATGATCCCCCACCTCATCCATAGTTCAGTAAAGTGGTTAGAGAAAGGACTGATACCCATTTTACAGACACGGAAGCTGAGGTTGAGGAAGAGTGGTGCTTTGCTCAAAGGCAAAGAAGCAATAAAGCTAAGAAGCAAACCTAGGGCCCCTACGTCCCAGCCTTAAATCTTTCTCTGTTTCACCGCAGCTGGGAGACCCGCGGGGGTTTGATTCACGCCGCGATACCCATCCTAGGGGGTCGCGCCCAAGCTACGCCTCCCCTAGAGCGGTCGCCGGTGAGAAGGGAGAAAGCGGCCACAGCATGTCTCTTTAATGCGCGCCCCCGGAGGCCCGGCGCGCCCCCGCCACTATAACTGGAGTGCATGGAGCAGACTGCGCTCAGAGGAAGAAGGGCGGGCGCTGGGAACCCACTGACCGACTTTTCCAAGTGCGATCAGAGCCCCTCGGGCCCACGTCCCGCCCCCATGCACTCGTCCGGGGTCGCCCATACTTGAGGACCCGGCCCTCGCTGAGTTCCAGGCTGGGTTGCTCCCCGCCGCCGCCAAGTGACCCCCTCGGGCTGGGCAGGCTTCCGCACCTCTTCCAGGAACGCTGGCCGTCGGGCGAGTGCTCCGCCGCCTCCACGCCTCGCGCTCCACTCCACCCGCCCCATGCTGGTGCACACTTACTCCCCCATGGTGAGTAGTCCGGGGTCCGGGAGTGCAGGAACAGCAGGAAGCCTGAGCGCTAGACCTTCCGAACCTCCTCCAACGAAATCTCGGAGGGAGGGGGCCACAGGGGCTCCGCCAGCTAAGAACGGCGAGCGCGGGTCTCGAGATCGGTGTCCCCAGCCCGAGGCTCCTGCACCCGAGGCTTCTGCGCCCGCGGGTCTCTCAGAGATAAACCTCCCGCCCGGGAAAGCGGGTAGGACGGCAGCTGGACCCTTGTGAGCTGTCCAGCAGGAGGGTCCTTTTGATCTGGACTCCTTTCAGCCACTGTGGTCGCTTAACGCTCCCTTCTCCTTCCCCAGGAGCGCCCCGACGGGCTGGGCGCAGCGGCTGCAGGGGCCCGCCTGTCGTCTCTGCCCCAGGCGACCTACGGGCCCGCACCGCCACTCTGCCACACGCCTGCCGCTGCCGCTGCCGCCGACTTCCAGCCGCCCTACTTCCCGCCGCCCTACCCGCAGCCGCCACTGCCCTATGGCCAGGCGCCCGACGCCACTGCCGCCTTTTCCCACCTGGCCGGCGACCCGTACGGCGGCCTGGCGCCCCTGGCACAGCCTCAGCCTCCACAGGCCGCCTGGGCCGCGCCCCGCGCCGCTGCCCGCGCAGCAGCCCGCGCCCACGACGAGCCGCCCGGCTTGTTGGCGCCGCCCGCCCGCGCCCTGGGCCTGGACCCTCGCCGCGACTACGCCGCCGCTGTGCCTCGGCTCCTGCACAGCCTGGCCGACGGCGCGCACGGGCTGGCGGACGCGCCTCTCGGCCTCCCCGGGCTGGCGGCGCCGCCCAGCCTGGAGGACTTACAGGTGAGGCCAGAATGGTCCGGGATGGGTCAGGGCCGTGATTTAGGACTATGACTAGAGGCAGCGTGATTAATACGGGAACCCAACTTTTCTCCCAGCCTGCCTTTTTTCACTCATGACTCTGAGGATACATCCCACGTCCGGGGTTAGACACTGCCTGGCCCTTAAGGCAGCGGGGAACTGAGTCTGTGCGCGGTGCCTGGATGGCGGCAACCCTCCGCGGAGTAAATGGGAAGGGGCTGAGCCACTGCTCTCCATCTAGGCTGGGCCACGTAGGTCATCTATGCCTTGTCTGGGTCTGCTGGGGCAGCCTGTGTCTGGAGCGAAGAAAGGCCGAGGAGTTGCCTAAGGTTCAAAATTCCTTTACGGCGGGGTGAGGTACCCAGGGCCCAGATAGACCACACAGATGGTGCCGAGCCTCGGCGAATCTTGGTCCCGCCCGTCCTGCCCCAGGCGACGATGATGTGCACTGGGCGGAGCAAACGGGACCGGGACCAGGGACAGTGGGGGCTTGGGAAGAGAAAGGACACTAGGTCCACAAGCTTCCTTACTACTGCCTCTCCTATTTGCAGGCCATGGATGAATCGGGAATGAGCCTACTGGATCAATCTGTGATCAAGAAAGGTGAGGAATGGCGTGCATCTGCCAAGGCAGAATCGGGCGGGATGGTGCAGGCCCTGGGCGCACAAACCCATTTTCTTCCCTCCTGAAGCGTGCCTCCTGTGCGTCACCAGGCTCGGTAACCAAGGGGCACTCTTCCTGACCCAGTAGAGGGGCAGTGGAGGCTGAGGGGCCTGACCAGAGCTTGGGCAGCTGCACAGGTTGGTGAGTTGGCCCCAGAGCCTGCAGCGGGCCGAGTCCACCAGCGCTCACCCGACTTCCCGGGCCAGTCAAGCTGCACTGGGGCCTGGCCTCTCCCTACCAAGGGGAGGGCGCTCTTATGGATCTGGAGTTAATTTGCAGAACAAGTTAAACCACTTCCCGGTTTCCTAAGAGGTGAGAATGGGGGTGTAGTTCCCATGAATTTCATTAAATGATTTCCACATTACAGAACTTTACCAGTTATTAGCCTGGCAACCGCTTTCTGACCCTTCCTTCCCAACAGGGCTTTGGCAGGTGATGGGGGAGTGGCAAATCTTGTGTTTCCTTGGGGAATTTTCTCTCCAAGAGGGAGCCTCTTTTGGCATTTAGGAATAAGGGGAGGTGGTGTGTGAATATTAGGCTGTGTGCAGGAAGGTGAGGGCCTGCTTGCTCCTGGTGTCTATGTGAGTTCCGGTTCTGTACATGTCTGTATATTCCCTTCCTGGGTGTCTTTCTGGTATTTCTTGGTATAAGTGTTTTTGTTGCTGTGAATGTGTGGTATTTCTATTATGTTAGTGTACAGATCTGTATGTTTGGGGGTCTCTATGTGTGTATCAGGGTCTCTGTTGTGTCCCAGAATTTGACCTTTGGTACCGAGGATCTCTAAACATGTGAGAGTCACTTCCTGTGTATTTCGGAGGGGTGTTTGTGTCTCTGCACTAGTAAAAACCAGGGATTTGAGACCTGCCCTTGAGTGGATTTTCTGGCTTGAGGACTGAGTTCTAGCTGTGCCAGGAAAGGTGAGAAAGAGACAGAAAAAGACAGAGACAGAGATTCTGAGGGGTCCAGGCCTTGGGCAGGCTCCTTAGATTTGGGGAAGGTGTGGGGCAAGAATCCAGAGATAGAGACAAGTCCGAGGTACCTGAGGCAGGCATCACCCCCCTGGGATTTGATTCGAGTTGGTTTTCAAGAGTGAATTCAAGCCCAGGCTCTGTTTGCCCTCCACCTGTTCCCAGAAGAGGCTGGGGGTGGAGGTGGCGGTGGGGAAGGAGGGCTGGACTTCCAGGAGCTAGGACTGCTTTACTGGGGGCTGAGAGTTAATTGGACCACCTGAAGTATGCGTGGGGAAGCTGAGGGGACAGGCTTCCTGGAACTTGGGGGTGGAGGACTCCAGGTATTGGGGCTGTGTCACCTGGAGCTGGGGTTTGGGAGAACTCTAGGAATCCGGTTGCCTGAAGTGGGAATGGAGGTGTGTGCTGGGGACCCAGCTCTTTTAAGCGCTTGGTTGACTTAGTGGACTTCTTTGAGCTCGGTCAACCCAAAGATATGATCGTAGTGGCTGACCCCAGGTCTGGACCCCAGGCTGGAGGAGCTGGGGGAACTAGGCTCACTGACTGCTGGGGGAGGTCCGCCTCCTGAATTATGGAAAGGGGCTTGGGGACCTCTGCCCTGGGGAAGAGTAGAAAGATCAGATGGTGCTCTGAGCACCTTAAACCCCAATCCCCAGACAGGAGGACTCTGAGGAGGCTGTGAGGAGGCAATGGAATTGTCCTGGAGTGGCTTCTCTCAAGGGACATCAGCTTCCATAAATCCTGGTTCCCACGTGTGCCCGGGAATCCCCAAAGGCAGTCCAAAGAACACGACGAGTGTGGCCGGGACTGCCCAGAGTGCTGCTGTGCTGACTGGGAGGCTGGCGGGATGGGGGGGGGGGGGGCGGTGTGATTGCGGGTGCAGCGTGGATGTTTCGGGAATAGGTACAGTGTCTCGGGTCTGTGGCTGAATGAGCTGAGTACTGCGCCCTGGGCACCCCACCCCGGCCGTCAAGTCCCAGCCCGGAGCACTGCGGAAAAGGTGTGTGTGTGTGGGGGGGGGGGTTCCCTGCGGAAAGGAAGTGCCTGGTCCTGAGCCTCGAGCCTGGAGCCTGGCCCTCTACTGGCGCAGAGGGCCTTTGGTGGAGGAAAGAAGGGCGGCGCCGGTACGTTCAGGCTTTGCAAACGCCGAGCAGTGCTGGTCCCCGGCGCTCCCGGCCTAGGGGTGCGCGCTTTGGCTAAACAGGTGGTCCGGCTAGAGCCCTGCTCTCAGCAGGCCATTTTGGCGGGGGTTCTTCGCTGTCACTGTGAGACTGGTCACTCCCCCAGCTCCCTGGGGGCCGTGAATTAGTGCCCTGCTTCACCCTCAGGCCCTTCCGATGGCATCTGGAGCCCCTGTCGAGTCTTGAAGTCCTCTGGCACCTGCCGGCAGCTGCGGGGACCTCGTTCCGGCCGGGCTCTGAAATTATGGAAAGTCATTCTTGGCTAGTCGAAGCATCTGATTCCTCCAGCTCCTCCCGGCCCTGGCGGGAGGGGCAACAGTTGGAGTCCTGGGTGAGAAAGGGAGGCAGCTCCTGCCCTATCCCAGAAGCCATGCAGTCTTCCTACTGTGGGCGCGTGGGTGCTTCTGGGGAGGAGAGCCTGGAAGATATCCGGGCCCAGACCTTGGTTGTAAAATCTTCGCTCTCCAGCCACTTGTCCCGGAGGGGAGCGGAGGCAAAGCCCGGCCCCGCCACACACTTCCAGGTCGGCAGCCCCAGCAGCCGCGGTGTGGGTTAGAGGATGGCAAAAGGGGCCCCGCCAACCCGAGGGAAAGCAGAGCCCTCCATTTTCTGCCCACATTTGTCCCCTCCAGTTTTGCGACCTGTCCTAGGGGCACAGAAAGCAGGCGGGACTGATGAAGAAGACAGACCTAGACAGGAATATTTTCCAGCTGAGAAAGGCAGTGAGAGGGCCTGTGCAGGTCAAGGTGGGAGCTCAGAAGGGGAGCGGTGAGTCCTGAGGCTGGGAGGCTTCCTGGAGGAGGAGACATTAGGAAGGATCACCCTAGGCACCCAGTGGGTGTTGGTTGAATGAATGATTGATGGATTTTGAAGCCTAAGTGCATTGAGGGAGGGGGTGTAGAAAGGGCCCAGCTGCTCTCCTGCCCTAGGTGCTGCATGTACAAATGCCCTGTCTGTGGAAAAGCCAAACAGGTTGAAAAGGTTAAAAATCTCCGTGGGTTTCAGTTTATACAGTCACAGCTGGAGGGGAGTGGTTTGGGAATGAGAACTGAGATATTCCTTGTTCCCTCCAAAGACAGTGGGTTGCTTAGCTGGGGGTGGGAAATCCCTCTCTGCTGGGTCGAATTGTCCGGTCTCAGGGGGTCTCTGGGGCAGACAGGGGCTGATGTAAAGTCACACTCCCCTCTGCTTCTCTTAGCTTTGGGAAGGGAAAGGGAGATGGGGAGGGTCTGGGCTTCCAGGTGAGTCTTCAAGCAGGGACAGGCCTAGGGTGAAGTACTCACCTCTGAGGCAAGATTTAGATACATAATATATATATTTTAAAATAAAAATAATGCAAAAAATTCATGATAAACATACTATCAAATCGTTACATTAAGACAGACTCTGACACTGCACTTGCACAACCCTGCCTCTCCTGCCTCCCAGACAGGCCACTGTCTGCCCCCAAAAGGGACGGAAAAACCAGTGCCCATTCAGAGAGTTTGGAGGGCATTGTAGAGCAGGGGAGTGAAGGGTGGGAGCTATATTTAGAAGAAACCTCCTGGCAGTTGGTGAGAATGAAGCTTAGCCAGCAGGTCCCACTGAAGGAGATGAGGAAACTCAGGTGGGCTGGGAGGAGGGACATTACCTTTCCTGTCTGCCTTCCTTCTCCTGTCCCTCCCCTCAGGCTTTGGACAGTGGTACAGTGTGGTCTTAGAAAATACTGCATCAGAATCCCTTTAGGGTATTTGTTTAAAAATGCAGATTTCTGGGGTACCAACTCACATCTATTGAATGAGAATCCTTGGAATTTGCATTTTTTTACCCATTTATTAAAGTAAAATGTATATACCTAAAATTCAGTCATTGTAAAACTATATAATTTGATTATTTTTAGTAAGTTTCTATTTATATAATTATAACCACGTCCATTTTTTAAAAATTCTACCCAAGAATATGTTTTTTTACTTTATTTTTATTCTTCTATTGATTTTTAGAGAGAGAGGAAGGGAGAGGGAGAGAGAGAGAGAAACATCGATGAGAGAGAACATCAATTGGCCACCTCCTGCATGACCCCCACTGGGGATTTGGCCCACAACCTGGGCATGTGCCCTAACTGGGAATCAAACCGGTGACCTCTTGGTTCATGGGTTGAGGCTCAATCACTGAGCCACACCGGCTGGGCAAGAATATGTTTTATTGATTTTTTTTTTTTAAGAGACAGAGAGAAAAACATTTATGTGAGAGAAAAACTCGATTGGTTACCTCCCATTTGCTCCCTGACTGGACATCAAGCCCTAAACTTAGATATGTGCCCTGACCTGGAATTGAACCTGCAACCTTTTGGTGTATGGAACAACTCTCCAACCAACTGAGCCACCTGGCCAGGGCATACCCACATCCATTTTTAGACATTTCCATCCCCCCTAAAATCCTTTAGCCTCATTTGTAGTTAATCCCCATTCCCACTCCAAGCCTTAGGCAACCACTGATATGCTTCCTGTCTATAAATTTGCATGTTTTAGATATGTTATATAAATGGAATGTATACATATGAGGACTTTTGCATCTAGCTTTTTTTACATAGCATAATGTTTTGAGGTTCATTTGTGTTGTAGCATGGATAAGTAGTTCTTTTTTTTAAATTGCTAAGTACTCAATTGTATGGATGTAACACATTTTGTTCATTCCTTCATCAGTTGATGAACACTTGGTGTTTCCACTTTTTGGCTTTTATGAATAATGCTGCTATAATATTCATATTCATGTCTTTGCGTGGCCATATATTTTTATTGCTCTTAGGTAAATT